CACCAATCCATATCATCATCTGTTTTCTCTTTCTTTCTCTTTTCCACATACATATGATGATTGTTTATAAACCTTCCAAACTTTTTCACTGCATTCATCTCTAAATAAAATGTCCTCTCTTCTACTTTATTTACCAAAACAACTCTAACTCATCCTTTGTAATGCTTATCTTGATTAATTAATAATTATTTAATTAAATATGTAATATACAATAAATGAAAACTCAATATTAAATCATAGAGCAGTTTATTTTTAAGTTTATAATTATTTTAAATATTTATACATGTGAATGCTTTACTCCCAAACTTGTACCAAGGAATAAATCTCATTTCTTGTATTACTCCATAGTTCTTTGAACATATTAAGTAGTCAGCAAATAAGAGCTAACAGAAAGTCCTAGGCATATGCCCTAACTTCCTCTTTACCTTTTTTCTTTACTAGCTTTTCTCACAATGAAACAAAAACCTGATTTAAAGTATATTTTCAGTGGAGAAAACCAATGTAAGGAATTGGTAGTTGTTATATGGCATAAATTATATGAGAAAATAGTATTAAAAAAGAAAATCCTTCCTATTTCCATAGTACTCTTTAGTCTATAAATAACTTCCTTATAAATTATTTTTCTTAGTTCTTGGAGGGGAACACATTGAGTATATGTTTTATTACCCATTGTTACAAGTGAGCTAATGGGGCCTGAATAAGTGGTAGGATGGACATAGTATGGTATGAGAACTAGTTGGTATGCATGAATGTTCATAGCAACATTATTAAAAATAGCCAAAAAGTGGAAGTAAACCAAATGATCATCAACTGATGAATAGATGAAGAAAATGGGTATATCCATACAATGTAGTATTATTCAGCAATAAGAAGGAATGAAGTATTGCCACATGCTACAACATGGATGACCCTTGAAAACATTATGCTAAGTTAAAGAAGGCAGTCACAAAAGATCATATATTATGTGATTCCATTTATAGGAAATTCCCACAATAGGCAAATCTGTAGAGATAGAAAGTAGATTAGTGGTTACCTAGGGCTGGAAGGTTGAGGAGGTGAAATTATCTCCTAAGACAATTGACAAAATATTTTTGTAGAAATTGCAAACAAGAAAGCCCATGCTCCACTCTAGGTGAATATAGAAACATAGCACCTAGTTTGTTATAGATAATAGAAACACAGTTGAGAGTCAGTTTACCCTTGGCTAGAGTTGTGATAAGCAAGATAAAAATGGATGCAGCCCTTGAAGCAGTGATGACTTGGGAGGTAAGTGTGTGTGGATACTCTTTACCAAGATTACATGGGATAGTGGTTCCCTCTTGCAGAGATAGTAGAAGAAAATTTTAGGATAGCCAGCAAAAACGTTCTTCATGGCCATAATTTCAAGCTCTGTGGTTAGTCCCTGCTATTCCATGTTAAGACACTGAGATTGGGAAAGAAAACAAAGATGATGTGAGCTAACTCTTCAAGCTCCAGGTCAGAAAATTGACCTAATATACATTTATAAAACTTTAACATTTATTTTTTCCTTTTATTTTTAATATATCCAGATAAAGGAATATCTCACTTTAGTAGACACATACTCTGCACCTTTGCTTCTTAACTCCAGAAACAATTAAGAAAAACTGTAAATGGTCCTTTTTTAAAATTCTATTTTCTTTATCAATGGCATCAAAAGCTATAATAACAGACATATTTAGGCTGGATATGTGCTTGATATTGTGAGATACAAGAATTGCTCCCTGACCTCAAGAATCTTGGAAACATAAGCTAATTGCCAAGTTAAAGCATAAAAACTAAAAACATTTTTTATTTTTAAAAGTTATTTAACAGGAACCTCCATACTATTTTTCAAAATGGCTGTACTAATTTACATTTCTACCAACAGTATACAAGGGTACCCTTTTCTTCACATCCTTTCCAACACTTGTTATCTTTTATATTTTTGATAAAAGCCATTCTAACAGGCATGAGGTGATATGTCATGGTGGTTTTAACTCTCATTTCCCTGATGTTTAGAGATGTTGAGCATTTTTTCTTACATTTGTTAGCCATTTGTATCTCTTCTTTCAAGGAATGTTTGTTCAGATTCTTTGCCTATTTTTAAAATCAGGTTATTTTCTTGCTGTTTAGTTGTTTGAGTCCCTTATACATATTTTGGGTTTTAGCCTCTTATCAGATATGTGGTTTATAAATATTTTCTCCAAGTCTGTGGGCTGTCTTTTCATTCTGTTAATTGTTTCCTTCACTGTCCAGAAGCTTTTTAGTTTGATGCACTCCCATTTGTCTATTTTTGCTTTTGTTGCCCATGCCATGTTCATTTCAGTATTATTCATAATAGCCAAATATGAAAGCAACCTATGTATCCATTAAAGGATACATGGATAAAGAAAATGTGGTATATATACACAATGGAATACTATCCAGCCTTTAAAAAGGAGAAATTTTTATCATTTGCAACAACACAGATGGAACTGAAGTACATTATGTTAAGTGAAATAAGCCAGGCACAGAAAGATCAATACTGTATGATCATACATGTATGTGGAATCTAAAAAAAGTTGAACTCATAGAAACAGAGAGTAGAATGATGGTTACCAGGGATTGGAAGGGGGAAGAGAGGGATGAGGAAAGAGTAGATGCTGATCAAAGGGTACAAAGTTTTAGTTAGACTGGAGGAATAAGTTTTAGTGATCTATTGCCCTACATGGCGGCCACAGTTAATAATAATGTATGTTTCAAAATTGCTAAAATAATGGATTTTTAATAGCTTTACCACAAAAACAG